CACCAACCCCAACACCGCCACACTATTGTTCTTTTTTATTTTGCTTTATTTACTTTGTCGGTCTGTTTGCCCCATCACCGACACCAAAAATAAGTGCACACATTCACAAAAGGAAAGAAACAAAGAGAAAAGGAGGCACGATCCCACCGTCCCGCCGCGGGTCACCACTCTCCTCCACACACCACCATTGCCGCGCAGGAGACCGCAGTCATACCGCAGAGTCAGCACCACAATGTGCACCACACCATCGTGCAGTGAACAATGGGTGGGACACGGCCATGCATCGCCCCGCTCCATTTTCCCACCACTCAAGTGTTGCGTGCCCGCACAAATTAGCAAACAGAACCAGAGCGCACACAAACCCAATCAACACCCTCACTCGCTGAAGCACATCATTCGCATGGAGTGACAGCTTTTGAGAACACACCAGCAGTAGCAGGCTGCACGGAATTTCCCTGCCAACCCCGCAAAGAGACACAACAACTCTGCGGAGTCAAGGTGGCTGCCCCTCGGTGATGCCCGCAGCTCACATGACAGGAATAATCCCACGCACGCACAGTTCCGGACACCTCGCTGTTTGAGTGCCCAACAGAACATGTGAAAAAATACCTGCGCGTAAGATGGAATTAAATATGCGGAAAGTCGGTGTGCTTTCTCCGATGGCGTTAGCGAGCAGTCCCACACAATCCAATCAAAGTGGCACGCCGGACAGAATGGCGTCCGTCGCCCAATAAAAAAATGCGACACCGAAAAGGAGCAGAGAAGAGTTGGCGCATGCGATTGCCAGCGACAACTATGAGCAACCCGCCAGCACCAACCGAGGTGCCGAGGAGCACGCTTTTTTAAAACTGGCCGTCAGGCAGAGAGGGCAAATAAAACAAGAGGGCAGCAAACCCTCTCGTTCAATGTCTCCTGACCGCGACACCAGAATCAAAATATCATGGACGATAAGAGCGGCAACGCCTTCTCCAAAGCATCTTGTCAAGAAGCCGCAGGACCTCAGGGAGGGAAGAAGACAGCGGTGGCAGCCACAGCGGGGGAGGCAATAAATCGCTGGCAGGCACCCTCACGTCGACGCGCACACCACATCCGAGTGGGCTGGGAGCACAGAACGAACCGTTCGGAAACACACGCATCAAATCCGCAAAACAAATTCGCAGTGAATCGACAGGAACTCCCCGCCCAAAACAAATTTATAAAGTAGCGTTTTTCAAGGGGGAATCCGCCTTTCCGACGACGGCACGGACGCCTCGCAGGAACTTCTTGCAAATCTCCCTTCGCAGGTCCGCATGAAAACGCAGCGGAATAAAAAGAGAGCGCAACGACGCAAAAAAAAAAATAATCCTCCTAACGGACCAGGTGGCAGGCCGCCCTCGCGCAAGTGGACAAAACACAACTTCACTCCGGTCTGGTAGTGGTGGTCGTCTCGCAACATTTTTTTCCGTCTCGTAGCAGTGCACATCCCCTCCCACAAATCATTTGTTCGGGCCATGCTCCTGCGGCCAAACATCGCGCTGCCGGATCCCGCGGCACAGTCCTTGGCACAGAAGTGAGGAGGAGGGACCGCAGAAGGTGCGAGCAAATCCGAATTCGGTGG